GGCCGCTAAGGATGCACGGGTCGAAGGGTTTTGGATTTTGGGCTTTGGGGTTTAGGGTTTAGGGGTTTAGGGTTTAGGGGTTTAGGGGTTTAGGGTTTAGGGTTTAGAGTTTACGGGTTTAGGGGTTTAGGGTTTAGGGGTTTAGGGTTTAGGGTTTAGGGGTTTAGGGGTTTAGGGTTTTGGGGTTTAGGGGTTTAGGGTTTAGGGAAGTAGTAGCACTCTGGAAACGTCAAAGCAACGGCTACAGGAGTCGTAGTAGGGTGAGTGGGAAGGGTAAGGCGGCGCACGAAGACTTGGAGAGTCAACCAAGGATTTTCAAGTCAGGGGGTGTTGAACGCAGCGTCAACATTGCCGCAGCTGCAGGGTACTACAACGGGCTTTCTGGGGGAAGATTTGGGGGCTAAGGGGTGGGATCCCATTGTTAGGGTCCAAGAGCCTAAACTTCAAAGCCTTAACCGTAGGGGCTACAGGAGGGATGAATTCCCCCACCCAGGCTCTGGGCTCGGTTTAGAGTTAAGGGTTCCGGGGTTTAGGAAATTGGTCCAAGTACTGCCTCGGCACAGGAGTAGATCAAAGCTGATTTGAACTATGGTGTAGGTGTAACAGACACAGCTGGGCTTCCAGAATCCTAACAGACACACGCCCTAAACCCTAAACCCCAAGCCCTAAACCCTGAACCCTAAACCCTACGCCTTAAGCTCTAAATCCCAGAGCCAACCCCCAACCTCAACAGGGGGGGCTGAGCTGAGGGGTGCGACGTATTACACCGCATTGCATGCAGGTGTGGCGGCTCAGGCTGTGTGTTCCCATACGGAGAGAACTCCAGACCTAAAAACCGTGTTTAGGGTTTAGGTTCAGGTTTAGGGTTCGGGGCCTGAAGTCTACAAGGAGGATCTGCAGTCTTTGTCAGCGGGATGCCAACAACCAGTACGACACGCCTTTCTCAGAACTACTCCTGTAGAACTGTAGACCCCCAATCAGGACCCCAATCATACTACTCAGGGTTCAGTGCCTAAACCCACAACTATCCTGAGATCAACGGATCAGTTCGAGGTACAGTGTGATAACGTTGTGTAGAAGTTTGCAAGGTCTTCGGCCACGATGGCAACTAGAATCCAACTCAAAAGACACACGCTCTCAGAATTCCCACTATCACATGAGCTATAGTCTCAGCTCCTTAAAGGGAGTTCTATAGGGGATTATATAGGGGACTACTATATGGGGGTATTAAGGGGGATACTAGGAGTTTAGATTAAGGCTCACATGTAGCTAGAGAGGAACCTTCCCAAACCTGGAGTCCTCACCTAAAACCCGAAGTGGTTTAGGTTGGGTATTGCCCCCCCCTCAGTAACAGTTGATAATAGTTATAATACGGTTATATATAGCCCTTAATAGGACCCCTAATATAGACTGTTACTGGGTGGGGGCAGTACCCAAGGTTTAGGGTTTGGGTTTTTGAGTTTAGGGTTTGGTCCAGGGGCCTGCCCGGTGCCACTGAGTTCAGAAAGGTTGAGACGGAGGACGGGCTGTTCGTAAGCTGGCTGAGTTTTGTTTTACTTACTGGGGGTTTGTAGGGAATATGGGCATAGATGATATAGGGGTTATAAGTCCCGTATTCCCCACTAACAACCAGTAAGTTTAGTGTTTAAGGCGTGATGGGAGTGAAGGAGAGGAGGGTAAGGAGGAACTCTTTTCAAACAAAGCTTGCATCCTTCTTACAGGGGAGTTTCTCTGAATATCTCAGAACAATGGGTTTGGGACCTCCGTAATCTCATCGGAATTGCCACATGGATGTTTCCAAAACTGTTTGCATCGTTAAGGTGTGTGCGGACATTACCCATCATTACCCCAGTCCATGGGGTGGGATTGCCAGGGGATGCCAGGGGTTTCTCGTTCCATGCCCTCTCATTCCATATCGTCTCGCACAGCATGCTGTGACGAATCGTCACTTGTTCAAATGGGCTATGGATCAGAGAGTCTCGAGTGGTTAAGCAAGGGCCTCGGTTTTCAGGTGAGCCAAATATCCGAAAGCACTTGCCGCTTGTCCGAGAAATTCCCGTGCGGGTGGGGATGACCATGTGGGTGGCAGAGGGGATGGCAATAGCATGAGCTTTTGCAGTATAAGCGACAACAAGTCATTGCAACAATGCTGCTGCCCTCACAAGGTAGTCGTCTCAAAAAATACTCAATAAAGGGTAAGGCGAGATGAAGAAGCACCATGATCATGCAATTACTCTAAGTATATTGCAGTGTTATTGGGGGCTATATTGGGATAATGGAAAAGAAAATGGAAGCCACTATAGCATATTGGGGTTATATTGGGGTTTAGGGTGGCGCGGCTTTGGGAGCTACTGCCCCGGGCCCAAAATTTATTACCCCAACAACGCAGCATCAAACGGACTTGAAAATGGAAAATGACATGGGAACCTCCATTTAGGGTTTAGGGTCTACGGATACGTAGTACCCCTGAAAATAAAGAAACTCAAGTGAGCAACTGGAAAATCATGTTTAGAGTTCAGGGAATTGTAGACTGCTTGCTAACCTAAGCCTTAATATAACCCGAATGTACTATAGTAGTTTCCATTTTCTTTTTCCATTATCCCAATACGGCCCCCAATATAACCCCAATATACTATAGTAGTTGCCCCTAAACCGCGTCTGAAGGCCGGTTTCTACGCCAAGTCCAGTGGGGTTTGCGCTTCCCGCAACCAGAAGATTCGGGAGGCAATGCAGGCTGGAGGGTTTAGGGTTTAGGGGATGGGTTTCAGGCTTACCTAGGCCTCCCAAATGTTCATGCAAATAGGCTTTCGGAAAAACGGGGTGCCCATTGAGACCCTAGGTGTATATTAGGACCATCAACCCTAAACCCCAAACGATAGCGACCTCATCCGATCTCTCTGTCAATGGTCGCCTATGTAGAACATATGGTAGTTCCCCAAAATAGAGGACCTCAATATAGACCCCAATATACTACAATCCTTATTATGGGGACCCCCAAAAGTGTACCCCCAATTTAGGGAAGCCCTAATCCCAAAAATCCCCTATATGATCCCAGTTTCCATTTTATTTTCCATTTTCTTTTCCATTTGATTTTCCATTATAGTAAGTACCCCTAATTTTGGGAAACCCTAATCCCTATAAAATCCCAGTTTCCATTTCA